AGCCCTTGCTTCTGGTGGTGCAGCTCCCGCCTGGGCATGACTCACTGATTACAGGGCCTGCTAAGACTTCTCCTTTTTGTTGGATTGATGGAGAGGACCCAAAGAGGTGAGCCTGGGAATATGGGAAGAGATAATGGCCGAGGAGTTCAGGGAAACATAAAGCAAAGCACAGACTCAGGGAGAGGTACAAAGTCCAAACAACATCAAAACAAAGGAAGCCATTCCTCAGAAGACCAAAGACCAAGGACAAACCCTTAACAGCAGCTAGAGAAAAGAGACAGATCACCTTCAAGAGTAGGAACAACAGCTGGTTGTTTAGTCAAAGCTATGAAACTCAGGTAACAAGGAAATCGTATCTTTAAAGGGTGAAACAAAATTAATCTCAAACCAGAATTCAGGATCCAGTGAAGACATCCTTAAAAAGAGTGGTGAAAGAGACATGTTCAGAGAAACAGTTGAGAGAATTTGACATCATGAGACTCATATGTAAACATTAAATGGCATTATTCATTGACTAGAATTTCTAGAAGGATGATATGAAAGCTTATTGATAGTAAGAATCCTTTTGGTTTCTGACTTTTAAAAGGAATGCCTATTTTACCACCAATTACAGCACTGACTTGGCTTACAGAGAAATAGGTATTCTTTATAATAAATCTCTATCCTCATCTGATTAAGACCTTGAATATGGAATGTATGCCAATTCTTTCCTAAAGTGGATTTTGAAAACATAGCATTTTAAGTGACTTTACACAATATATGAATACCCATCCCTCTGATGAGGTTTTCAATAAGCAAATGTATACTACGGCATGTTTCCCAAGGTCTCATGTTTATTAAAAGAGATGTAAAATGTCATTTGCAGCAACACGGATGAACCTAGAGCTGATCATACTAAGTAAAGTAAGTCAGACAGAGAAAGACAAATACAGTATGATATCACTTATGTGTGGAATCTAAAAAAGTGATATTGTACAAATGAACTTATTTACAAAACAAATATACACACAGACACAGAAAACAAACTTATGGTTACCAAAGGGGAAAGGCAGTGGGAGGGATAAAATTAGGAGTTTGGAATTAACATATACACACTACCATATATAAAATAGATAACCAACAAGGACCTACTGTCTAGCACAGGGAGCTATACTCAATATTTTGTAACAACCTATAAGGGAAAAGAATCTGCAAAAAGTACGTATATACATATAACTGAGTCACTGTGCTGTACACCTGAAACTAACACAACACTGTAAATCAAATATACTTCAATTTAAAAAAAGATGAGAGAATATTACGATTCTTAAATACTTCTTTATATAGTAATTTTCATCCCCTAGAGAAACACATTGTTAACTTATTGGTAAAACTTGAAAACATTTTAATGTAAAAATACTCATTTTCATATACAGTGTTGTAGAAAGCCATGTGGAACTTGGGAAGCATTGGCATTTGCAGTCAACAAAAGCAACACTGCAATACCATGCTTTAACGCTAAGCGGGCAGCTTCAGAGTCTCTTAACAGCTCTGTGACAGGCACCCACCACGGTGCGGGGGCCCGTCCTGCCCCTTGTCAAACAGGCTTGATGCTAACCTGGTACTGAAAAAAGATCTGGAAGCAACTCAAATATTTTTATGACTGAAGTGCAACAAGATAAATACCCTGAGATGTGTTCCTATTCAGTTTTATACGACTATGGAGCCTGGCATATAGTAAGGAAATAACAATCCTGAATTAGTTCAATCTGGATGACAGTTTTTCTGATGAAGATAGCTACAAGCAAGAGAAATATCCAATGACTAATGAAGGTGACAGAAAGCAAGTACTCCACTGTACAAGATACGATCTGCTAAAGAGAATCACGAGAAACCAGAACATTTTGAGGCATCCTGAAAATCTGCTTTCAGCGTGAGCTGCTCAGACAACAAATATCCTTGGTAAACCAAATATCTCCAACCAACAAAAACTAGTGGAGAATGCCACATGGACTCTGACATAGGAATAACTGTAGCTGCCATTTTATAAATCTTTCACGATGTGCTAAGGATTCTCATCCCATGTGTGACCTCAATCAATTCTTTACACCAACACTGCAAAGTATTCAGTAACCCCATTTCACAGCTAAGGCACCTGAAGTGGAAAGGGGCAAAATAAAGTGACACCACTAGTCAGTAGCAGAGCTTCGATCTGAATTGAAGTTGGCCTAATTTGAAACCCCTTGCTCTTTAATTCTCATTTTCCCTTTACAGAAGATGATGATGGTGATAGTAATAATAACAATAATAGAAATAATTCTAAAGACTGTTGGTGTTAGACTTAGGTCAGGAAGCCTTTCTGTAAGGCCAGGGAGGTTTGAGCTTTATCCTGTGGAATAGTAGAGCGTAGTCAGTACACGATGTTAAGCAGAGGAATTAACACCAATAGGCAAAAACTCATTATTCTTTGTTATAGAACTTGTTATCGTGTGCAAATTTGTTTTTAAAATGTGGAAACAGCATTCAAAGCATGCCAAATTTGGCATCAAACCATCGATGATATTCAAAGGTATGTGCACTGAGGTTTCTCAACACTGACTACCGTGGCAAAGCAGAAGTAATTCCTATTTCTTAGTAAGTCAACAGTCTTAAGCGTTACGTGGGTGTCTTCCAAACCTTTTCTCTTTTCTATAAATCACTGAGCTCTAACTGAAGACTTATTAGGTGGAAAAACTCTAATAAGTAGTAATTAGTACGTTCTTAAAAGCATTCACATGTTTCATTTAAGTGGGATGAAGAAGAGAATGACCGTGTCATCTCTCGGTGGCTGTCATCAGTACCGAAAATCCTTCTGAAGGACAGGCAACATGACCCAACAGGTGCAACTTAGGGCACAAAACGGCGTAACTTCTATTAATCCCTGGAGGTCCTAATGGAACGCACTCTAAATGAGCTAAGAAAGTAAGACAACTACTCTTTAACTTTCTTGGCAGCAGTCATTCTGGTCTAAATTTTCATTATTATACCTCTATGGAATTGATGGATTATGCAGTGGAAAAACACCACTGAAATGTTGCATTGCTTGAATTGCTTCAATCAGACTCACGTAGAAAAATAAGAAAGACTATGTGGGCTTTGACCACACATCCGTATTCCTCTTTTGTACAAAAAAGTACAAAGTGTTTGTCTGCAGAGTTGGCTAAAACCACAAAAACACCACCACCACATTTAAGACCACATTCACCCTAGAGAAAAATTGACCCTGATCTACATCATTAAGAGGCATTAAACCTGTCTGTCTTATTCATGCAAAATGGCTTCATGATTAGAAAACAGCAACACAAATATTTTGGAAGCATGAGATACCAAATCACGCACATGACCATTTCACTGAGAGCCTTTCTTTGCTGTACACAAAGACAGCATGGTTCACCTAAAATATGTAAATGCCTACTATATATAAAATAGATAACCAACAAGGACCTACTGTACACAGCACAGGGAACTATACTCAGTAATCTGTAATGACCTATAATGGAAAAGAATCTGAAAAGGAATATATGTATAAAATCAAATCACTTTACTGTGCATCTGAAACCAATGCAACATTGTAAATCAACTACATTTCAATATAATTTTTTTTAAATATGTAAATGCCACTTTACCATGTGACCACTGTTTGGGTTAAGAAAAAAGAAAGTCAATCATGTATGTTTTGCATTTATGTTTTACATTTGTTAGACGATAATTTTTTTTTAAAAAAGGTAAAATCATACTCCCATACAAATAAAATATGAACAAGTAAGTGTCAAAACTTTTATTCAATTAAACTCACTGGTGAGGGAACAGTAAGATGTTACAACCGATTCCAAGGAGAATTCAAAGAACAGACACGTATACAGCAATCAAGAATGTTGAAATGAATCTGCTGAAATGATGTAAAATTGGTCAACAGCCAGAGACAACCATGCACAGATAATCATTCCATCTGACAATCACATACATCACTATCACCTTTCTAAGACTCACAGAATTGAAAATTAGCTCAAGGACAATCAATAACAGAGAACACCAGGGCAGGCCAGAGGTGGGGTGTCCACCAGTGGAAACACCCTGTGATTGTATTGTTCCCATTTTCAATGCCTCTCACTATATTCCCATCACAAAAGGCTAAGTAAATCTACTAAAAGCAGTTAATCACCAAAGTGTAATGTACAATAAATTGTTCCAAAAATGGGCTACGGCTCTCGGCGGTACCAAGGATGCACTCTGAAATCCAATTCTATCTGCATCAAAGAAAATATTAAAAAATAAATGTTCTTAAAGGATATGATTTCTCTGAGGCAGAAAACATTCTCAAACGTGGATATGCACCTCGATATAAGATGTAGGCTACCATTATGCTCACACTGAAAGGAAACAACGGAAGATACAGTTCGCAGTCAGTCTCTCAGTACAGGTCCACAGAGATTTAAGGGCACATAAGGAATGTCAACATTTGCTGATAAAGAGAATGATTTATGAAAACCTCATCCTTCATGCGGATTTCCCACTCAGATTACAAACCAAACAGAACTACCATTACCACCTCACTTTTATTAGTTGCTAGCACATGTTAAGATGAAACACTGAGGAGAGTGATACAGTACACAATGTATATAACTATAATAAATATGTACATACACATATATACATAAAAGCATATACATATACGTATATATTTTACATTTTCCAGCCAGGGCTGAGAACAACGAAGAAGAAAAAGAAATGAACCCAAATTATTCAAATACTAAACATGACTACTCAAGCGACAATTTCCATCTGTGTTCTGGGCTGTCTCTCTTTTGCTTTCTGTCTGTCACGTTACAGTTCATTGACCCTTTAGAGAGTGTAGGCCAGACCCTCGTGGGATGAGAAGGCTTCACAGGCTGAAGGACTGTTCACGTGGAGGTCTGGGAGCTGGGCTTTCCTCTGCCCTTCTCCTGGGCAGCGTGGGCCACACGCGTGGGCGCAGGAGCCTCTCACTCGTAGGGCGGCAGACCAAACAGCTCGGGCTGGAAGTCCTGCAGGGAATCCAGCACGAGGGTGGCCTTTGTGGTCAGGTCTCGGTTTAAGTTTCCGTCAGGAACCATGACCACCTGCATCCCAGCTGCGAGGGCGGCCTCCACCCCATTGGGAGCATCTTCAAAGACCAGGCACTGTGGGGTGAGGAAGAAAGAGAGGATTGAGACGGCCTCCTCTGTAACCACACGTCTAGACTGGGCTTTCACTGCCCGCACCACTGTCAGCTGAGTCAGCTCAGTGTTCTGTGTGACACGGAAAAGGGGCGGAGGCTGTCCGGTTTACGGTCTGTGGGGCGAAGAGGGCGCTGGCCCTGCTGTGGCCCGAGTGCGTCCCACCGCGTCACTTTACAGGGGAGAGGTCCAGCTTGGCCCCAAAGCGTTACCGAAATGTGGCACGGCTGAGTGGAAAGACTGGATTCTCGGTTTACAAATTTATTTTAATTGAATCATAAGAATCTGTTCAATTGATAATTGACCATGCTGAGCATGAGAGGAAGTTGTGAAAAGTAAGAAAAAATACGCTTTTTAGGTGTAAAGTGACTTCAGAGCTGGCAATGTTTCAAGTACTGCAGTTTGGAAATTAAACCGTTAGGATGTTTTAGTGAAAAACTCAGCCCCTGGGGGTACCCGTCACGCACCAAAAATCTCCCGAACACAAAGACTGAGTACCAGGTGCGGTACCTGTTTCAGCTTATTCAGACACCACCGCTAAATGGGAGTGTCTGTGCCCCCGTTCGCGTCAGGAAGCTCCTCAACGTGCCATCCTGTGACCATCGCTACCGCGAGTTTCACGTCAGGGCTCGCTCCAAATGCGAGGCAGAAGTCTACCCAGCGGTGAACGGGTGTGTCACCTTTTTATCACCTTCCCTCCGAGGAGAGCACCCACTGAGAAAATTTCCCTTGGCTCCTGGAATCCCACACTGAATGTAAAAGCAGCTTTAGTCTTTTCAATTAAGATTCCGTAGGGGCTGGACATGTATACAGAGGGCTCCTCCCGGCACCTCTGAGATGCTCTCCTGTGCCCCTTCTTCTACACAAGTGCCCGAGGACGCCCGGGGGTGGCCCAGGTTGGACCCTGACAGTCTCCCCCTCACGTCCTCCCAGCCCCCGGCCCCCCTGCCATTGATCACAACGACTGCCCCCAAACCCACTTCATAGGTCGCTGTGATCCCAGCCCCACGTGCTGGTGACCTGGAAATGGCTCCTGGGCACCAGCTGCCAGGTGCAGCCTGACACTAGAAGGTCTGCAACCTCTGATGTCTTTAAGTCAGTGGAAAACGCACAACACACACAAACACATACACACGCTCTCACACTCTTACTGCTGGTCTGCTCTGGAACAGGTTCACTGACTTTTCTTCTTTCCCTCCCTCCTTCCCTTTCTCCTGGAGGCTGAGCCACTTATGAGCTGACTCCCCCCCAGAGCCGAGGTGAGGACCGAGTGAATTACTACTCGTCACGACAACAGGCCAGCACTAGGCACCGCACAGAGCGGGCTGATGCCCGGGACACAGCGTTGAACTGGACGGTCCTGGGCACACGGAACACCCAGTGCCACTGCCTTCCTGTCAGGTTTCCTGCGGCCCCCTGGCTTGTTTCAAGCTCTGCCTCTACCGAGAGAAGACGGTTTCCCTCTCAGGGGGTAATGACTCCGCTTAGGCCGCCGAGGTGCCGTTTCTTAGTTATCTCATTCAGAGAGTTCCTGCTGGTGACGTTTCTGTCCCTGACTTTTTAAAGTTATGACCTGACCGTATTCTAAACGTCCCTGTTGTTTTACCTGGGACCATGGAGAGGCACTTAAATGTCACCTGCTGACATGTCGTTCTTTAAATACATGAGATTTTTAGGCTTTGTGCAGGCCGCCTGTGAGCTTTCAGTGGGGCAGAGGAAGAGATTTTGTTGATTCCTTGGGGTAACGGTGCTTGGCTCCAGTCGTGAAAACAGCTTTTTGTATTTGTGGGAGGCTCCTTCCAAGGAGCATATGGGCAGGTGTGAGGAAAAGGTGGTGGCTCAGAAACCGTGGCACTGAGCAAAACAGGGGCCCAAGACACCTGTCCTCATCTGAAAACAGTGGTCAGCCCGTTCGCACCTGACAGCTCACCCACATGCCCTTTAAGCTCCAGGAAATACAGAGGAATGTCCACATGCTCTGCCCACATGCCGTTTAAGCTCCAGAAAATAAAAGGAGGAACGGTGGCGTGATCGGGAAAAGCTCCGCAGGTACTTATGGCTAATACAGGCGGCGTAACGGACATACCCTGTTTCTGAAGGTTTCACTCTTTCTGCAGGCGCGCACCATTTATTGGTTTCTGTTTCCAATTTATCCTTTGTCCCCACCTAATTCTGTAATGAATCACCCCAACGCAGCACGGAGATGTGAAATGCGATGTTTAGGACGCATGCGGCAGAGTGAAGGGTGGCAGGCGTCAGGGAGGCCAGCCTGAAGGACGACAGGGAGGAGGGATGTGTGAGGCTTGTGCAGCAGGAGGGCCGTTGGAAGTGTGTCCAGGCAGGTAAGTAAGGCTGGGTGCTCGAAAGCACTCAGGGCAAAGCCCGGCAGACAGGACGGGGCGTTTGCACAGAGCCTCTTGATGCCGACTGTTCTGAAAGGTCAAAAGCGACTGTAGTCCGTGTTGTAAATATGGTCGGAAGAATAGCAGAAACCCTGATTGTATACATTGTGTCAGGAGCTCCTAAAATTCCTTTCCTTTGCCTCCTCTCCTGCGTCCAACAAACGCCTTCCACGAGCGCCCACTGGACCCTTCCCACGGGCCAACAAGAATTCGAGAAGTGCGGAGAAGTTAAAAGAGAAGTCGAAGTTTTTAAAAGCAGATTGTAATAGGGAAGAACAAATACGACTCCATATTGGATCTGCTTCTTTAACTTGAGCCTTTGTACGCTATTGCTTTAGCTTCCAGTTAAGAATGTTGCCTGTAGCCTGAAATACACAGGAGAGCCCATTCTCAAGGCTCTGACCTTCAAAGGTGTAACCTTCCCATTCAGGCAGAGATAAAAGGTTGCAGAACGAAGAATACCATTTGTCTCATTGGAGGTTTACATGAACATCGCGACCCGACCTATGTGCACAGCTGCGAGAACACAGGATTCTGGCACCGGGAAGTTTGCAGCGACTCTATCCACGCTGCTTCTTCAACTTGCCTCTCAAAGTGCTTTGCTGAAACCCTTGGGGGAGTTTGGAGTTTTGGGGGGCATGAGCCACTGTCTGCTTGCAAGGCGCTGCGGTAAACCTTTCTCTGCTCCAGACTCCAAAGTCTGAGTGCTGTTTGGCCTCAGTGTGCGTCATCGGGCACACACACCTGCGTTTGGTATCGGAATCGTCCAGCCCATTGCAGGGTGTATGATACAGGAAACTGGACCCCTCGGTCCCTCTGCCCCGGCCTTGCCCTCCTCACACAAGCTGAACAGAGCAGCCAAATGCAGGGCAGGAACCACACACATGACGCGGATCCTGCGGAGGACAGCACCAGCGATGGGTCCACGTGGCCGACCCCAGCCCTGGCAGCACACGGACAGCACTGGGGTCTCAGGCATGGGACAGCACCGGGAATCGTAGGGCTTCCCCTCCTTCTTACAAGGAGCAGAAATACAAAGCAGAACAACTAGATTTTGGAGCACCTGTGAAAATGCCTCAAAAGGTTTTTATGTGCTCGTTATGCTGTGCCCTGATTCCTAAGACCTAATGGTCTTCTAAGGACCACTCATAGGGAAAGTTAGCCAGAGCCTAGAATCGTGGACAGTGTATGAACAGTCACCGCATGGCTTGTCTCTCTACTGAAACCAAAGAATAAACCTTTGAAAGTTACCTGGAAAGACTATGCCTGTTCATAACAGGACTTAACTAAGGTCATAAAACCACTGAAAGACGTAAGCTAAAGCAATACAGCTCACACCTTACACAAACAAAAAGGAGGAAGTTATGTTTTCCCGGCAAGTACCAAAATATGTCTGGGCAGCTTCTAAAGGCCACGTGTGGCTAATAGGCGCTGGCCTTTGTCTCTCTTCTTCCTTTTCAACACTTCATTGTTCCCTCAGTGACCAGCCCAGCCCTTCCCACCCAGAACTGACTGGTTGCACTTAACCTTAACTCGCTCACACCTACTTGTAAAGTGTGACTGGGGATGCGTACTTTGGTGTCTGCCGAAGAAACGTCCCTGTAAGAAAGGCTCTGCAGGGGCTGCAGCAGGTGCAGAGGCCAGGGGAGTAGAACACCCGCCCTTCCTCGCCCAGCCCACCTGCACCTCGGCCCTCAGCCCACGATTCTGTGGCCGGGTGTGGATGCAACCGTTTCACCAGTGCAGTGGGTCTTGGAGCACAGCACACGTAGCAGGTGCCCCAGGACACACTTCCAGTACTTCAAGGAGGCTGCGGGTCAGGAGTACTCTTCTCACAGCTTGTGCTTGGCTGTAAGCAGGCAGGGCTGCGTGGAAGGCGCCCTCTCACGGTGCCAGGCCGGGAGTGGGTACATGAGGACCGCCTGCTGAATTTGCGGAGGTGGCGGAAGCGCCCTGGTCGGGACTCAAAGCAACACAGGGGCCGCAGAGTGTCACCCTCGAGGGCAGTGGCCAGCCCAGCCCTCTCCTGTCACTGTCATGGCTGAGGGATCTGAGCCTGGGAAGCTCAGAGGTGAGCTGAAGGTCACAGCGGCAGGTAGGTGACAGAATTTGGGAACTGTGCCCGGGTCTCCAGAATCCAATGTTCTTTTTCACTTTACCAAGCTGAAAGCTAAAATATATCTGAATTCCATCTCCAGAAGAGCAGATGAGCTTAATTAAACTGTAGCTTGAGGGGTTTAATTTAGAAAGAATGACATTTCCAACCACCGGGTAGGTGAAGGGAGGTATTTCAGGGGCTTATAGCTCACGGAGGTGCCGAACCCACTTCTCTGAAGGTGCTCAGACTCAGGAGCGCCCTGTAAGGCGGCCCACGTCCGCGACCTTCGCCCACGCTGCTCGTCTGAACCACGGGCTGGGGGCGGGGTGGCTAGGAGGTCCTTTCAACAGGAGCATCAGGGAACTAAGATGGCTCATGTGGTAACTATGGAATTGCACAGAACTGAACCTTTGTCTGACAGTGGTGGAGAGAACGCAGGGAGGTGGATGGGATTAGGGAAATCC